TCCCCCCCCCCCCCCCCCCCTCTTTCCCCTTATGTTTTTCAGTAATTTGATATACCTCATTTATGTTGAAAATCATCTGAGATTGAAATGGAAGCAATCCCACATCGACTAAACAAGGAAATATAATAGCCTTAGTAAAATTTGGAACAAACTACTCTTACTTTTGGAACCGTTTAGGGTCATTGGAGTCCAATTATATATGAGCCTAGATTCTAACAATTTAGCCCAAGGGCATGCATGGTATGGTAATTTTCGAGGCTACGAAAATTTCTCTACTTAGGATGTTTCACTGGCCAACAGTTCCAATTGAGAATGATTGTCTTGGCCAAGAAATTACATCTCACTAGGTAATGACGATTAATGCACAGACTAATACGAATACTTTTTAGCTTTACCTTGAAGAGTTTTGCCACAGGCCATGGTAATCCTTATCTTGATGCACATTTTGCCTTCCCTGTTGTTCTGCTACTTCTGGCATTCTTGGATTTTGAGCGTCGAAAATTAAATCATCAGATGTATCCCCAGATGACCCATTTTCAAATGCGTCCGATTGTCCTAAGCAAAAAAAAAAGAGAGCCCACATTAGTCCTAGGATTAATAAACACATTTTGTACGGAAGATTAGTAAATGATTTTCAGTTATAGTCTATATTAATCAAACAAATATAAGCTTGTAAAGATATTAGAGATCAACCTGAAGAAGCTGCAGCCTTATCGGTGGTCTTGACTGTTCGATACATCTGCACATTAGTGGTGCATTATAATATAGTCACCAATATAATCAAGTAGGAAAATAAAATAATGCTTTATAGATATAGTATACATGTGTATGTATTCATGAGAAAGAGAAAAATAAAAATAATTGAAAAAAATCCTTCTATATGGACATGGTAGATCTGGTACGGTGCAAGTACAAATGGTATAAGATGAAAAACTTTCTGAATGTCTACCCAAAGACATGTATGTATATGCATCTATATGACTGTGTAAAATTAACCATGGTTATAGGAGTCTGGTTAAAAACCCCAAAGAGATACTGATATCATTGTGGAATGATAGTGTTCTGTACTGTAAAAGAGAAGAAAATATTTTTTTTATTAAACTTGTCTCGGCTTGGCTATCAGTGTTTCCAATTCCTTGGGCTTTGTCTTACTCCTTTTTCTTATATTCATGTCTCTCTCTCTCTCTCACACACAGGGATGACCCATTATTCCAAGCAAAAAGCTGATTAATAGCTTGCAGAATCATCAGATCTAGGAGAAAAAGAAGGGCTAAGGATTGGAAAGACTTCTTTGCAAGAAAACATTGGAGCTTAGACCGTATGTATTAACACCTTCCTGCAATGTAGGCTGTACTGTTTACTCCCTCATAAAAAAATAATTTAAGCTGTACTAGTGCCGATTTCAGTGTTGCAAAAACACCATACTCAAACTACTTTAAAGGCTATTTCCTGAAGATGCATGTATTGTAATAGCCAAACGAAAAAAAGTCAAAAAAAAAAAAATCTTTTTTCAGGATTTTATTATGATTTGTACAGAAAAAAAAATAGAGAAGTTAGTGAAGAATGTGAAGGGATAGGTGGTCAATTTACCTGTAAATGGGATTTAACATGTGCCAAGGTGAGATCTTTCACATCCATGAGCTCAAGAACTGACTTCGGTGTAGCTCCTACAGACCAAAATTCAAATGAATTGGATAAGCAGATTTTATCAATATTTTTGTTTTGTAAATCTTTTTGAGGAAGATGCTACACTGATGGTTCACTGATATACCAAAACACACACATACACACACACTCCCTCCCTCTCTCCCTCTCTCTCTCTCTCACACACACACACACACACAAAATACATGGAAAGGTGGGGAAAAGTATACAGAAAGGAAGAAGAAAAATGAAGCTTACTTTCATGGCCACCCAAAAGCTCAACAGCATAAACAAACCGAGCATGAAGTGTAGTAGTCCACCGCATCCGAGGCGCTCTCATGCTACGTTTGGCCGGAAACCTTGACAAAAACTTTGATCGTATTAGGCCTTGAGACTGAAAAGGACTTGAAATAATGGTTCTTGAAGCAGTGGTAGTTGATACAGAACTATCCAAAGGCTGCTGAGAAAAAGGGAAAGGAGGGTTTTGATGATATACTGGAATTCCTCGTATGGGTCTCAAATAACCAAGCTCTGGGCTGATCTCATTATGTTGTTGTTGCTGAAATAGTTGATGAATCTGATGAAATTGGTCTGGATGATTTGGGTACTGGTTCTGTTGAAAGGAATGGAAAAGATTGGTGTTGCCATTCTGGCGGAACTGAAAATTGTTGGAGTTGGTCTCAGAAACCATTGGATTCGACAAGGAAAGATCGAAAAAGTTATTCGGTTTGGCCGTTGAGGATATGGAGTTTCGGGAGTCCAAAGCTCTCTTCCAGAAACCCAAATTAATCTCATCTTCTGTCCTCCTCCAACCTGATGTGGATTTGCTATTTGGTGGGCTGATTTGTAGAGATAGGTCTGGTTGTGCTGGAAATAGCTCCATCTCCAACAAAGAAACAAGCACCCTAAATTAGTATATCCTATTCCTTCCTCTTCCTCTTCCTCTTTGTCTTTTCTACCTCTTCTTTCTTGTTCTTGTTCGTGTGGTTTGTACAGTGCTAGTAGGGTTTTCAAGGAGGGCTGATACTTTTTGGGAACTTTGATGATCTAAGTCTTGAATTTTCAGGTGAGAGATTTCTGGGTGCTTTTTCAGATGGTGTTGATGGTCTATTGAGGGAGTAGTTGCAGAGATTTGAGAATGAGAGGAGAGAGAGAAGGAATGAGAGAGTATGAACTGAATGGTTGTTCCCTTGGTGTGAAGTATATGTGAGAAAATGACTTTTCAGAGCCTTATGGGGGGGGGGGGAGAGAGAGAGAGAGAGAGAGAGAGAGAGAGAGAGAG